AACTATACGGGTCGCAATCCCAGTCCTAGGTACCTTATGAAGTATCTAATGTCCCCTATTCGACTTTTTGTAAATAAAAATGAAATTTTACACATAAAAAATGAAATGTATATTTCTTTCAAACACTACAGACTTAGAGTTTTCGAGTATTACACATTTATTTATAAATTATAATTGAGAATAGTTTAATAAACTTAAAATACATGAACTAATCATCGGAGCTACTTCTGTCTTCCGTTGTCGTTTCCTCCATGAAATGATAGTCCGATGCTATGTTAACTTCTTTAACATCACTTTTTTGTATCATTTGACATGACTTTTTATTGATAACGACATTCCGTGCAATACTCTTTTCTCAAACACTATTAATTTTTTACCTTAAACGCTTTCTCCAAAATCACTTTAAAAATCATTTTTTTAATAGAAACAATCACAAACACTCCGAAATTTGTACTATGAGTGTATAAAAGAAAAAAAAATTGGTATAGAGGTGTGGTGGAGGGGTAAGCAATTTATTATACCGCCATTCCCAAAATGTATGGCTATTGTTGATAAGGGGCAGACATGGTTCCGGTTCTAAGTTTGAACTGCCAATTTTTTAATCAGAACCATCCGGCCTTTAATTGCAATCGTAACTGATCTGATGATTTTGGATCAAAATCACAACCGGGTGAGGGGGGAGGGGGGGGGGGGGGGGGGTTAGACTTTAGAGTTCTAATCTTGGGTGATCCAACTTAGGGACTAGGATTAGAAGGTCATGTTTTTATGTCATTCTAATTTTTACCCATGAATAATGTGTATGCCATAATCATAACAATAAAGGCTTCTCTTGATGCACATTATATCAAAAGTGAATGTGCTGATGATATTCAAAATTGTTTACAAAACGGTTCACAAGATTTTACCATTCAACAAATACCTTTAGCATTAACATTTTGACAAAAATAATTGTTTAAAGTCATATTTATATCTTAATAATGAGAATTTCAACCCGTGCAACGCACGGGTGAAAATTCTAGTTACATACAAGCCCTTGTGCCCTTGATGAAATAAGTTTTACGATAACAACTTTCCTAACACGAAAAGAATATGATGTAGTAACGGGACTAGGCCCAGAGCCTAATCGGCCCAAGCCCCGAACTTGGACCCGTGGATCCAAGTCCACAACCTGGAGCCTGCCTACCAACCCAATGGGAAGCCTTCCAGTCCGGCCGACCTGTCAGCTAGGAAAAGTAACAATCGAGCAATTAATGTGTTGTTTAATTATAAATTTAATAATTATGTATTAATGTTGTAATTAATTAATCATTATTATCGATAGCGGTTACGATTTGTATACGCCTATAAAAGGCGGGTTGTAATTCAGATTAGAGAAAGCGATTTCATACGCTACTTTCTGGCTACCAAACTTCCTTAGCAACTTTCCATATTCGTATTGCTTTCCTGATTTCTACTTGAGTTTCGAACGTAACTTTCCTAAAAGCCTACGAACGTCCTATTTTGGACCAACAGAATACGTTATACGAGTAGTTGATACTACGTATATTCGCAATCATGAACTATGAAGAACAATTTTGCGTATTCGTATCAATTTCGGTTCTTTGAGGAAGTTCACTGAATTGATATGATTTAGGCTAAAATAACAAGGCTTGACATATATGAGGACGTTAGATAATTATTTTGTCGAATTGATTAATGTATATTTTCTAAGTGGAAAGAGCACATTCTCTACGAATTAGAGATGTCGGAATGATAAATTGAGATTAGAAAATGATAATGGGCGTGGAACATTTTGCTAATGAGAATTCTTTAATAATTATTCACTCACTTGTTTAAGCTAACAATAGTTGTATGATAAAAAAACTAACAATAGTTGTAACTTGTGGAAATTAATATAAGTTGATCTGTTAGCTTCATTTGCAATTCTCAAATCCTTGCACTTGCTAATTAGATATCAACATCCATTCATCTAAAATATCTATCACTATACAAAAGTAAGAAGAAAAACTGGTGGATTTTCCGTCCAAAACATCTGGGTAAAAAAACGGCCGGGTTTGTACTTTGTAGTGCGAACTGTGAACCAGCGTCATTAAATGTTTGTTTGAATATGGGTCATTGGTTTGTGTATTCTCACAGCACCTCGCATGCTAAATCCACCATAATCTCAATTATTAAATACAGAGTATTGGTTTTTGGTTTATGATCCGAAAGTTATCAGATAAGTGTGCCTACTACCTTAGTGTGTTGTTCACGTGTAGGCCCTTTTCTTGTTGGGAAAATTATACAAATAGGATCAAATCATACAAAGTTTCCAAAAATAGGAGTCAAAATCCGAGTACGACATAACTGCATAGCATTTGACATTTAAACCCTTAATTTTAAAACTCTCGTGCCACATGTACGTTTCAGCCGCTGAACATTAAAATTTCCCTAATCGGTAAAACAACCTTCTTCCGCCTTTCAACGAAAGCTCAACGGAAAAACATTTCTGCTTCCGATCTTCAACCTTCTTCAAAGAGCAAGCGCGCGACGAAGGAGTCAGTAAATTCGACGAACAAATGGCGAAGAGAAAGAAAAAATCAGAGGCTGAAAACGATGAAATCGGGGAAGAAGTTGAAGCAGGTCAATCTGGCAGTGATTTTGAAACAAAGAAACCGAACAAATCAGAGGCGCAAAACGTTGAAATTGTTCTTCTGCCTGGTCAGGTATGATGTTCAATTCAATAGTTGGAGATCATGTTAAAATATGCATATGAAATTGTCTATTTCTCTTACTGTCTATTTGTCTTGTGAAATCATCAAAAATTCTGTATGAATTATTGATAATCATTAAATGAGTACTTGTCGTACAGTTTGTAATTGATACTTAATCAAATAGGATTTTCCAGTTTGTATCGAAGTAGTCATTAATAGATTTGGTGTTATTTGTATAATTTTCCATTGATAGTATGACTACTTCTCTTACTGACTGTCTATATGTGTGGAGAATTATATGTGTGAGGTAGACATTGTGTATATAGATAGTGCTAATGTATGTAGACATGTTATTTAAGAGATGTATATAGACATTGTGTTTAATTAGTAGACAATATATACATAAGAAATTGTTAATCATGTTATTTGTTCACTGATGATTATAATTCTTATACACTTATTAGGACCAGGCAATTGTAAGGTCAATTGCAAACCCTGTCTTGTGTACAAAGAAGAAGATAAAATTGAATTGCTTTGAACAAGAAATGGGCATGAATAACGATGAAACTTCAGACACAAGGGTAGATGAAGAGGCCTCGGTTCCAGATATGCCTAGTTTTGACCTACATCTTTTTCAAACACAGAAGGATGAAGGAAATATTGTGCAAAAGGTACAACCTGCAGACAGTGAGCACCATGAAGAAAATAAAGAAGTTGAAAGCGGGGATGCAAATCCCATAGGTGCACAAAAAGAGAAGACAGTAATCTTTAAAGAGGAAGGTTCACTAACTCCAGCTCAAGCAAGCATAAACACACATTTTTTTTTATAAACACACATAAAGAGAAGACAGGTTTGTTTGTTTTTATAAAAACAAGTTTGTTAATTTAAGAACCTTTTTTCCGGTGAGTAATGTTACAATATTTTACATTAGCAGCAAATTTTCAACTAAAATAACCAAACTTGCAGATTCAAACTCGTTTGAAAAGGACAAACGAAACCTTGTAGCCAAATTCACTAAATCACCTTAAAATTATACCACTCCATATAAATAAGGAAAAATTGATAGTAATAATCCCAACTATTGGCGGTCCGCTCATAATAATCCCAACTATTGATTATTACAGAATAATCCCAACTTTAGGGACCTTCCGCCAATAATGGTCCCTATGAATAAATTCTTGTAGTTTCTAAAGTGGATGAGATGAGATATAACAAGTAATCCCTATAAATAATCTCAACTTTTAATTTTTACGCTTAATTTCTATTTAAAATTCACTTTTTATAAAGGTAATATATGGTCATGGACCATTATTGGCAGATAGTCTATATAGTTGGGATTATACAAAAATAATCAATAGTTGGGATTATTTTCAACAGACCAGCAATAGTTGGGATTATTGTTTTCAATTTTTCGTAGAAATAAAGTGATATAGTAAATTTCTTTTTTCTTTCTAAGTCGTCCCAAAGTACACATGCTTTTCATAAAAATAATATAAAATTCTATTATTTGTATTTTCCGATCATTTTACTAGCATCAACCGTCAAACTGACCTGAAATTAAGAGCCCGTTTGGAGACCTCTTTTTTCGGCTTATCAGCCAGCTTTTTCACCAAACACGTAACTTTTACTTTTGTGTGCTGAATTGTGTAATAAGCAGAAAAAGTAAGGTTGGAGTTACTTTTCTGGCTGTATTGGCTGAAGTTACTGTAGAGGACTATTTTAGCTATTTTTACATGTAATTTTTTCTATAATTTATTAATAAAATATATTTTTAAAATATTTTTTTCTTGAATCAGCAGAATCAGCCAAAACAGCCAATTCAGCCAGAATTTCATAAATTTCAGCAGAATCAGCCAAAACAGCCGATTTTCGTGCTACCAAAGGGGCTCTAAAACTTTCGATCCAGGCCGGTGGGAGTATTTAATTAATACATGTTGGGCTAACTCAGCTACATATATTGGACTTATGATCCCAAGATTCCCAACTATATATTATCTCAATTTCTTGAAAATAAAATATGCTAGAATAAAGACAACACAACATTTTTGAAGTGCAGTACTTTTTATTAATTACGACTAAATCAGGGTTCGATAAATAGTGAACACAGTATACGAAATATGACTGATTAAAAGCAAGAAAAAAACTCATGCCTGCACCTTTAAACTTAACCAGATGTCCAGATCATGAATCACTGAATTGTACTGTTTAAAGGAAACGGATATCCAGCACAAACTTCTCAGAACAACGCAAAACCCAAGCCCTAAGGACAGTCAAGAAGGGATCATACTTGAACTTGATAACAGACTCTGGTTATCAATTTTGAAATGAGATAAAAAAAACTGATGCATGCCAAAACCTCTAGTGATAGTTGTGTGCTCCAAAAAACAACAAACAAATGCCCTGAGAGGCGGAGATATGTCGCTCTCTTCACGGGGTCACATAGAAAAGGAAATAAAAATCTCAAAAAAGTACAATCCACAGGGAAATTCATTATTCCACAAAAAAAGGGGAATCAAAATTACACAAGTAGAAACGGAAAAGAAAATTTGGATGCCCACAAGCAGTCACGCCTCAAATCACCTTCTCACACCAAAATATGTCTTCTGTGTTAAGCCTTTGTAAATTGTCAAGCTCCCCTAGTCCCTACAAAGTCCACAAATGTTCTCTGCAGTATTCTCGAACAATGACAGGGACACTTGTTGGAGGAATCTGTAAAATATGGCCAGAGCAATGTGGCAAGAACAAATGCACAAATTAGTAGGAACACAAAAACCTTTGGTTTTCTATCTGAATCAGAGAACTTTAATCACTGATAATGGGAGCACGAGCTCACAAGACCACACATACCATTCCATAATCTGTGATTATCATTGAAACATAATCTGCTGGTGTTGCATCATAGCTGTGACAGAGTGAATAGAATTGGTAAGTTTTAGTGTATAGGAGAAAAATCTCACAGGTTTACAAGGACAGGGAACTTACATCAGATTCAGCAGTTGTAAATTTTCACTGTTGGCCCAATCATCTAGACCGCCAGCACTTCCGCCAGGAACTTTTGCAATTGTTTCTGGATCACCTATGTTATATAGCAAAGATAATAATAGCTAAACTGGTAGGATAACATAGATAATGGCCACTTTAGAAAGAAAATAGTCTCAGAATGTACTTCAATTTTGCCCTTCAAGATGAATTACCCATTCTCTATTTTCTTATAGATCTCATTTTGTTTATTGAAAGGATAGCGTGGTCATTTTATGCCCATAATTTATAACTATCAAATGACTTTCTAAATCTGTTGCATTAAACTACAGCTATTTTGATTATATAGTGCTCGAGTGTTGTGCCTTTTTTGTTTATACATTGGTTGAGTCCGTGAAAAAGTCTTGTACAAACTACGAAGAGTATTAAAAACACTCGAACTAGAGGGTGGAGGAGAAAAAACACACATAATGACATACCAAGTTCATTAGAGCAAATTGAGTCAAGTTGAACCCTCTCATGAAACTTGTAAGCTTCACAGCATATCAGGACGGGAACACGAAATTGATGAGCAACCATAGCAACACATGCTGTCCCAACTCTCGAGTAAACTGTTCCATTGGACAAAATTGATGCAGCACCCAAAAACACTCTAGTAGCTTCATGCATTATATAGGAAACTGCGTTGATATGAGTATATGTACAGTTGATGCCCTTAGCCACCAGCCTACGTATCAGTAGTTTCCCTTCAAGTTTAGGTCGTGAATCCACCACTATGACACGGAAAGCCCTGCCAAGCTCATGAGCATGTAAAAATATCATTTCAACAGCAGATGATGATCCATACGTGAGAAGAACATCTCCATCCCTGATCTTGGTCACTGCATGCTTTACTATTACATTGTCTGCAAGTATTATCTTCTCACTTATAAATTGGTCAATGTCTGTTATAAGAGTTAGTTTTGCCTCAGACTCTGACAAAGTCAAAGGTAGTCTCGTGATCTTAGTTTTAATAAACCTAATTGCATTTCCCATTGTGATTGAGAGTGGTCTGCATTCAATCAGAAATGACACATAAGCATTGATTTTTGCAGTCAAGTCCCTGATAAGAGCCTTTTCCGGTGGAGTTGAGTAGTCCTTTATTGATTCTTGGAATGCTTGAAGCATAGCGATACATCGAGCATTGCCACCAGATATATCTCCAGACATATACCTCAGTCCAACCTGAAAAAAATTATTTGTGGAGCATATGAACTGAAATAAAATCCTGAAAGAGGAGTCAATAGTAATACTATATTAGTTTACTAATGATATATTAGGGTATTTAATTAACAAATTTAACACTCTAATGTGGGTTATAACTATAAATGCAGACAGGAATGCCTAAACAAAGAAGAACAACAGGTTCAACACAATAAGCTCCTCCGCTATGAGTGTATTCTGACCCCCCTACACCTCCAGGAATATTCTAATCATCTAATGGGCCATAGTAAAATTGTTGTAGGTACTTTAAAGATTTTAAATGTTGTATATCCGTCACTTGAGCGCAACTCATTGTTTTCAAGAATAAGGTACAAATAACTAAACACAATTAAAACATATGTAGCAGAACAGAAATGAGGGTTTTTAAGAAAAAAATGTAGTGTACATTTGGTTAAAATCAAACCAGAGTACCTTGGCAATGTTAGTAATAATAATGTTATACTCCTTTAGTCCAAAAAAAGAGCCTTGTTTGTGCAAGCTACAAATTTTAGTTTTAGTCAAACAAATCAAGGTACAAGTTATTATAAATGATGAATACGCTTACTATACCCCCTGAAAACTTATAGCATAATCTATTTGATTTAATTGACAAAACCACTTGCCTGTGGGCAGTGTGGGGTTGACACAAATTTTTACTTAAAGTGAAAGTTGACTTTTAAAACCGCACTATATTTTAGAACAAAAAAGTCTTGAAACGCAGCACTTTTTAGGGGTAGAGGGAGTAATACGGTTTTTTGGGCTCAATTATGATGATGATAGCTTATTATCCCCAAATAGGCAACTGGGGCAATGTTGAGTTTCACAAGTAGTCTTAGATTACTTTTACTTTTATGTATTCTACTTGTGCCATCAAATCTAGATAAATATGATTCTAATCTAATGTAATTTTAGATTCCCTCAAAATCAAACAAACACAAAGTTATCTTACATTCCCACAACACAAGCAGTAAAGCACACATTACATGCATAAGAATATGTTATTACCCAGAGTAATACTGTACAAGATAACAAGAACCAAACCACAAATTAGAGTTGATACTTTAAGAGCACTGTGTCATTTTGTTGAGAAGTTTTCCGGAAAAAGTACCTTAAAAACAGCAGGATGAACTGGATCAAGTTGGAAGAACTTTGACTCAAGCTCAGGAAGCCGTGTTCCATGTTCATATTGAGGCAGATGTCTAAATAGTTCAACCCTATTCCTTGCTTCAGTTTGTTTCACTACTGCTCGCTTCTTTGCCTTCTCCACACGGCTTTTGTCATCAAACTGCATGCGTGGATGGGGAACATCCTTTTTTCTATCTTTATCTGCTGGGCGATCAATACCTCTTTTATCAGAAGTTGAAACTGGAGAGATGTCTTTCCTTTGTATCGGACCCTTAGAAGCTCGTCCAGCGTTTGCACTTGCAGAAGAAGCTTCCCCAGAAGCAGCAGCAGTTGTTTTGCTTCCATCAGCTGGATAACCATTGCATCATCACAAGGAATAAGATCAGAGCAAGCACTGTGATGTTGAGGGAAGATACATATAACGCAATCTATCAAGCAAAGAGATATGGAAGTAACTGATTTTTTGCAATTCTTTCTTCTGGTCTCTCTTCATGAAAAATCACAGGATCCATGATGGCCATGATATACAGTATCAATCTCAGAATTAGAAATGATTATAGAAAATGACTCAACATATCAATGTCTCATGGTATTAACTATTAAACAATGGTGATTAGGAGAAATTAAAAAGACCTGCAGATAGTCTGCATATTTGTATTTTATGGTCAATTTGACAGCAATAAACTGTGCAACTTGATTTGGCCAGTTCAGTTTAGTTGTCCAACTCTATTACACAAAATTGCAATTGTCTGCTTTAGGAAAAGCATTTAGGACATCATTACAGGCTTACAGCAAGTATCATATGATGCAGATTAAGTTCAAGGGAGTGGAAATGCGGAATGGAAGGAGTACCCTTGGCTGCTGCTTTTGCAGCTCGTTGAGCCTCCTGAAGAGCACGCCTTTCAGCCTTAGTGGTTTTCTCTTTCAATGGTTTAGAACCAGTTGCTAGCTCTCTCTGTGCTGCAGCAGATAATCGCCCATCTTTTTCTGTAGCAGGAGAAGAATTCAAAACGCCCCCGCATTAAAATGGTATTCCCTTCAATAGAAGCCAATTAGGCCAGGGAGAGAAACACAGAACGAGTCAAAAATACCTGTTACATCAGGAGGTCCGTTCACTATGGAAACTGTGGTTAAACCAGCTGCGGGAACGTTGTTCTGCTTAGAACCCGCCATCTCGAATCCACCAGAAGGAAGCGACATAGCAAATTTCCCAGAATCTCCCTTGCGAGCTCGACTAGAAGATACTATGCCCTCCGTGAAGTCAGATGCGGCGGGGGAGGTAAACTCAGATGGATTATAGCTACCCACCGGGATGGAGTCGCGGCGAAGCGGTGAGGGAGGAGCGGGAGGGAAGTGTGCCGCCACGCGAGAGAGGTCAGAGGACAAGTGCCGCGGAGGCGGAATCATCACGGGCGAGAGGGAATTGCCAGATGGAGAGAGATCGGATACGGGAGGAGAAGACGACGCCTGATCGGCCGGGCCCGATAGGGAACGGTCCGGTGGGGCGAAGAAACCAACTTGACGGACCTTCGGGTCGCTCACGGCGCGAGCAACTCGACGAGCCTCCATTTGGACGGTCGGAGTGCGGGGATAAGACAGCAGGGTCTAGAGGTCAGAGTGAAATAGGTCCGTCCATACAAAAGCGGCGAGAGAGGGTGGAGGAGAGAGGCTGAGGGCGGAGGAAGTTAGGGTTTAGGGATGAAGAAGATTCGGGGGAGGTGGCGGTGGCGGTGGCGGTGGCGGTTTCAGGTGGAGGGTTTAGGAGCAGTGATGAGAAAGGCAGTCTGATGGAGTTGGGGACCGCAGCCAAAAAATGTTCTCTTGCAGTGATCAATTGACGTACGTAAATGACAAATGGGACTCGTACTTACTTGTTTCTAAATCTGTGAGACAAGTGAAAGCAATTCTTCAAATTTTCTCAAATACTTTTTTCAATTAATGATAGTGAAAAAATATCCATTACCTCTATGACTTTATCCCATGAGATACATTGGGTTTATAAAAAAATTCACTTTATTTTTAAAAAATTGATGGGCAAAAATATGATTTTATAACTTTTAGTAATTTCTATGTAGTTAGATGTAAATTTTAAAAAAAAATTAGTGTCACTAAAAGTGATTGAGTTGCATTTTTGAAAAATCTCTTAAGTTTAATGTGAATTTAAAAAAAGGATAATTTGTTTTATAATTCTAACTTAAGTAAGAAAGAGTAAGATAGTCCATAAAAATAAAAAGAACGTGTTTCAATTTAAGAAATTGTATTCATATTTTTTTGAAACAATTCATAGAATGTTATCATACAAAGTGGAACGAGGGATAACTTTGTTATAGGTTGTGTTGGGTTAAGGGCCCAAGCCGAGGTCCGGCCCACTAACCCATTTTGCCAGACGAACGTCCGGTTAGAGCACTAGGCCAGCCCACAGGCCCATATTCCTTGAGGATGGACGAACGTCTGGTGTTGGGGGGCTCAGGCCCAGCAGCTCATCCCGACGAACGTCTATGCAGGGACAAGGAGCAGAACCACGGGCCACCAGGGCCATCGGAGGAAACCCAGTCCACGGGCCACCAAGGCCAGGAGACGAACAGCCGGTATCACCTGAGGGTCACTTGGAGCGATCCAACTCACTTCCTGGGTGGACGAACGTCCCCACTTATCCGGCGGGAAACCTAGATTCTGGCGGGAAGTGCATTTAATGCTAAAGATTTGGTAGTTGGGACACCAGCGGTCCACAGGCTGCCACGTCACTACAGCCACCTGCCCATTGGCGGGTATAAATAGAAGCATTTATTTCATTGTAAAGGGTTGGCAACTTGCTATTCTTAGCATACTAGCTTCAGCATTCTTACTTGCAGCATTTCTAAGGGCCTTGAAGGACGAACGGCCGACGTGCCTTTTTAGCAAGTAGATTGTATTTAGGGGAGTTATTACGGAGTTAATAATACCTATTTACATTGCCTGCTATTTCTCTTGTTTCCTGATCCATCTGAAAGTTGTTGGGCTAGATATCCACACACTCCACTCGAAATCTTTGGGCTTACGTGTTGGGTCCAAGGGTTGAAGGAATAAACCTCAACACTGGCGCCGTCTGTGGGAAACTGAGCAAAAAGTTTCCAGAAACTCTCCCAAACAGCTGCTAAGTCTACCTACAGCAAACACGATGTCAGGAAGCAACAACCAGCGTGATCTCTCCGAGCGTCTGGAATCAAGCCGCCGGAATCGCGGCCAGAACTCGGAACTATCCGCAACAATATGGACCTCCGGGGGGAACGGGGGTATCACTGACCTCATTCCTCTGGAGGCCAGGCAGGATCCTCGCCTCATGCGGGAACTCGCAGACACCATGCGTCGCTTGGCAGACGAGCGGGAGGCCCGAGACCAGGTGTACTCTGCGAGTACCCAGCGAACGCCCCTCTCTCCCATACGCCGCATGCAGTCGTATGACGATACGACAGGATCCAGCGACCACCGGCCCTCAGTCCACGAGCGGCTAGGTGGGGGTTCAGGCTCCCGTGGAACGGGAGGGCGAACCAGAGTCAGCATCGCTGCATCCAGGGCTCACACACCATCAGTCCCCCGCCAAATCCCGCGGGGAGACGAGACCCCGAGGATCAACACCGTTGGACGACGTTTCCAACGGCGAGGTGCGCAGATTTTTAGGCGGCCGCCCGATGCTGTGGCCGCTCAGCAGAATGCCGTCCCCGAAGCCGCGCCCGCTGTGTCCCCCGGAAGGGCCGCACAGGATGCAAGGTTGGAGGCCATGGAAAGGCAGATAGCCGAGATGAATAGGCGGGCGGACGTTGGCTCGGCCACACCCTCTTTCTCTCTCACATCTCCCTTTACTCCACGGGTGATGAGCGTCGAGATTCCCCGGGACTGCAGGCCCCCGGGCAACTTGGTGTACAATGGGGCTGGCGATCCCAAGGCCCATCTGATAAGCTACCAAGGGAACCTGTCCATGCTGGGAGCATCAGACGAGGCCATCTGCAGATTGTTCTTCAGCACCCTCAGGGGGCCGGCGCAAGAATGGTTCGGCCAGTTGAGGCCAGGCACCATCGACTCATATGAACAGCTCTCCCAGCAGTTCATGGCGCAGTTTGCTGCCAGCACCACCCCCAGGAAGGACGTCACGGCTCTCGCCCACATCAAACAAGGGCGGGACGAACCGCTGGCTAGGTTCCTGGTAAGGTGGAGGGACGAGGTCCTACAGGTCGACGATCTGGACGAACGTCTGGCCACCAACATGTTCACCAGTGCGCTGGCCACAGGGGATCTATACCGGGACCTAAGGAGGAATCCCGGCACCAGCTACACCGAGGTTCTTGCTCGGGCCCAGAAGTATGCCTCCATTGAGGAGGAGATCAGGCAGCGGGACGGAGTTCCCGCGGCCCACCCGCGGAAGATGGCGGACAGGCTCGGGCCCGGGCCGGGACCCGGGCCCTCCCCCCCAAACAAAAAGAAGAGGACAGACGGGGCGATGGTCCCCTGGAAGGCTCCGTCCGGGGATACTCAAGCACGGCCGGACGACCGCTATGTCCCATTGGCCTACCCAGTGAGCCAAATCTTTGAGGCCATCAAGGACAAGGGCCTCCTAACGGAACCCCAGGATATGAATAAACATATGGGGCACGACCAATCGGCCTACTGTGAATACCATCAGAGGACCGGCCACCTGACGGATAATTGCAGCCAATTAAAGAAAGCGATCGACGAGCTGATCCGTCAGGGGTACCTGGGCGAGTTCACCCAGCTGCTGAACAAAAACAGCCAGCAGAAGCCGAACTCAAGGCACAAGACATGGCGCCGCGACGATCGGCGCGAGGCAGAACCTCAGGACGTGGATTATCGAAGTGCAGATAAGCGTCCGGAGGGATCCCTCGGCCCGAAGGGCAAGAAGAAGAAATTGGAGATCAAGGTGATCTTCGGGGGCGCTGAGACAGGGGATACACCCGCCGAGCGGAAAAAATTTGAGAGGTCACTCTATGTGGGTTCCGTATCAGCACCCCCCACCAAGCGCAATAGAGCCGAGGCAATTACCTTCGGCCCCGCTGACCTGCCAATGTCACCGGCGCCGCACAGAGACGAGCTGGTGATCAGCATGGACGTGAACGATGCTATCGTCCGTCGCGTCCTCGTTGATACCGGGAGCAGTGTGAACGTCCTCTACTGGGAGGCCTTCGAAGGAATGAGGCTCCGGAAGGACATGCTGCACCCCCTACGCACCCCGCTGTCCGGCTTCACCGGGGATTGCATTGACGCTGAGGGCACCATCATTTTACCGGTAGAGGTCGGCGACGGCCCTCACACTGCCCGGATCAGCATGACGTTCGTCGTGGTCCGCCTGAAGTGCGCCCACAACGCCATTTTGGGCCGACCCGGCTTGGAAGACTTGGGGGCCATATGCTCCGTACGACATTCATGCATCAAATTCCCCACCGACACTGGAGTGGGGGTGGCACGAACGGACCCACATATGGCCAGGGCCTGCTACACGAAGGCCATGGAGAAGCTCAACGAGCGGGAGGCTCGGGTCAACAGCATCTCCGAAAAGGCCAAACAGGCCGACTTGGACGCTCATCTGGAACCAGCGACTCTGCTGGAGGAAATTGAACTCGACGATCCGACGGACAGGAAGGTGTCCATTGGTGCGGATCTAGAGCCAGAAATCAGGGCAGGGGTCATAGCCGTCCTCCGGAGGTTCAGGATCTTGTTCGCCAGAGGGCCGGAGGACATGCCGGGCATCGACCCCAACCTCATATGCCATAAACTCGCCGTGCGGTCGGATGCCAAGCCTATACAACAGAAGAAGAGATATATGGCGGCCGACCGACGCGATTTCATCAGGAAGGAAACAGCAACTCTCCTCAGCATCAAACATATCCGGCCAGTCATCCACGTGGAGTGGTTGGCCAACGTGGTTCTAGCCCCAAAGGGCGACACTTGGCGGATGTGCGTCGATTACTCGGACCTCAACAAAGCTTGTCCGATGGACCCTTACCCTGTCCCGAGGATCGACCTGCTGGTGGATGAGACAGCAGGCTGCGAGCTGCTCAGCTTCATGGACGCATTCAGGGGCTACCATCAGGTGTTCATGCACCCCGATGATGCCGAAAAAACGGCATTCGTTACGGCGGACGGCGTGTACTGCTACATCGTCATGCCTTTCGGCCTGAGAAACGCCATGGCTACTTTTCAGAGGATGATTGGGATGTTGTTCAAAGACGTACTTGGAAAGACAATGGAAGCTTACGTAGATGACATCCTGATCAAAAGCAAGAAAAAGGAGGACCATGTCCAGGACATGGAGAGGGTCTTCAGCATCATGGAGAAGGCCAGCATGAGGCTCAATCCGAAGAAGTGCGCCTTCGCCGTCAGGGGCGGCAAGTTCCTCGGCTACATGATGAGCGAGCGGGGGATCGAGCCTAACCCGGAGAAGGTGAAGGCGATTATGGACATGGAAGCCCCAAAGAACCTAAAAGACGTGCAGCGGCTCACCGGGCGTCTGGCGGCCCTGAGCAGATTCTTATCCAAGCTGGCTGATAAGGCGATTCCCTTTTTTCAGATCATGAAGAAGGCCAATCCCTTTCAATGGACCCCGGAGTGCCAAACTGCCTTCGAAGATTTCAAGGTATATCTCTCCTCTCCGCTCGTCCTCACCAAGGCAGACCCCGGGGAGAGATTATACATGTACTTGGCAGTAGCCGATCTGGCCGTGAGTGCCGTGCTGCTGAAGGAATCTGAAGGCGTCCAGCGGCCAATATACTTTGTAAGTAAGGCGCTGAACGGTCCCGAGACGAGGTACACACTGATGGAAAAGACGATCCTCGCCTTGATTGCATCCATCAAGCGCCTGGCACCGTATTTCCAAGCACACCCGGTGACTAT